GGTGCTAAAATCCTTGCCTCCAACACACAGTGGAGCCCCTTTTCGGGATGTAGCTGCTGGGAGGCAGGAATGACCCTCAGGCCAATTCTCCTGTGCATCAGCCGGAGACCCTGAGAGAAACAGATCAATAAGCGGGGGGTGTGTGGGTGTGGGTGTATATACAAGCATATACGCAGACTCATAGACTGGTATATATGTGCTGCATGCATATTTTACATACACATACATATACACACATATTAAGATATTTATTTTAAGAAACTGCTTTACACAACTGTGGGGATGGCAAGTCCAAAATCAATAGGGCAGGCTGGGAATTCAGGCAGGAACTGACACGTGAGGCAGAATTTCTTCTTCTCTGAGAAATTCTAGGTTTTGCTTGCAAAGCCTCCAATGAACTGGATGAGGCCCACCAACACTCCAGAGGGGAATCTCCTTTACTTAAAGTCAGCTGACAGGTGTCAACCACATCTGTACAACACCTGCATGGCAGCCGCTGCATCGGCCTCTTGAGCTGGTAGCCGGGTACCGGAGTCCAGTCAGGCTGACACATCACAACACCTGTCACGGCCTATTTCAACCTCCCTCTACTGCTCTGCCCACAGCCTGTTTCAACCTCCCTCTACTGCTGTGCCCACAGCCTGTTTCAACCTCTCTCTTTTGCTGTGCCCCCTTCTTGGCTCAGGTTTTCTGTTTTGAGACTTCTTTCCATTCTATCTTTGTTTCCAGATGTCTGCTAACTTGGCCTGAGCAACCTGGAAAGCAAAGGGCCCTGTTGCTGGCCCTCTGCCACACCAGGACACAAGAGAAATTCCCCAACAGAAGAAGCCTGTCCTTCACTCCAGACCTGGGAGCCTGGGAGCCACTGACTTGCCGCCAACTAATTCTCGAATTCTGGTTATCTACCTCTCTGTATCTCCATTTCTCCCATATATTGGAGACAAGAGAGCTTAATCTCGGGGGTTGCTGAACATTAAATGAGAACATACAGAAGAGCGTCTGTGAGCTTTCAGACTCTGTGCAAATGGAAAGAGTCATCATTGCCACCATTATTACCAATATTATAGTGACCAGGATCACCATCATCACCCTGGTCATCATCACCATCACCATTGTCATCATCATCATCACCACCCCGGTCATCAGCATCACCACCACCACCATCATCACCATGGTCATCATCACCATCACCATCACCACCCTGTTCATCAGCATCA